CGCTGTTTTAAAAGGAACATCAATCTAAAACGAGAGTAAATCGAGTTGCGTAGGACGGAAGTGTTGTTTCATGGACACTGTTATACTCCAAATGACTGAAACCCAACCCAGAGAAAATCAGGGCCATAAAAGGGATGCCTCTTCCTACTTACGCAAAAGCCGTTAGCAGACTGGATGGGATGATGAATTACCTAAATCGTTTCTTGCTTAGATTAACCGATGCGATTGTACCCACTCGGAAGCTGACGCATAAGGGACAGAAGTGCCATTGGGACGTGGAGTATGGAGAGGGCATTTTAGGAAACAAAGAATTATATCAAGAGCGCTGCCGTTCTCGTTTCCTATAACTTAGCACTCCCACTCGGGATCCAGTGTGACAGCATTCAGTACGGTATCGGAGCCGTACTCATGCAGAACGGTAAGCCTATGGATTCTCGCAGTCGGACAATGACAGAGGCCGAGGGTTGTTAGGCGCAAATACCGTACGTTTGATAAGAGTCTTTCGATTTTGCTCAGTCGCACAGGGTGAGATTGGAGCGCACTAATTTGCCGACCCACCAATGGCATGTAAGTCTACTGTATTTACTCACCCACGCATGTCTGGGGGTGTGAATACGACGTGAGGACGCATTGCGGTGCATGTGTCCTTGAAATATGTTAATTACCCTCGGCGACTTTTGACACCGGTCAGTTCAGATTGGGTCGCTGCCGCCGTTTTTGGCTGGTGGTTTGCAACATCTCGACAGCATTGCATAATGCACTGGCTACCGTGTTCAAATGTTGGTGGCGCTTCGACAGTTGCTTAATGTTATCCCAGCAACTGATAAAAGGGTTAGTGACAACGCTGTTGTAGACTGAATGTTACCTTCACATAAACCACTTTAGCAAAATAAGAATTAGTAACAATTAGACGGTAAAAATATGAGATGCTACTTCTGCATAAATGAGTCCGGAAAAGCTGTCGTTAACAGACTACTCCCGTTACAGTCTTGATAGCAATTGCAGAACCAAGTGGGGTGCACGCTGTCTAATTTGTTTAACAGTGACCGTGACGGTGTAACATGAAAGGCTGACAGTGTCGCTCAGTCTCTCAGGAAAACGTGGGTGTATATCAAACGAAATGATGGTTACATGCTGCCGTGTATGCCAATTAAGAGACTATTCGCTGCACGTGTTTGTGGAGAAGGACTGCCGATGAAATCGGTGGCTGTGTTATGCTTCTCTTGTGTTCCGCTATCTTGTGCTTAGCTCTCTCGCGGTTTGGCCGATGTACACATGTGCGCAGCAGTCCTTGCAACCAATATTTTAGACGCAATTGGTTGTCCTATCTGCGAGAAGTGGGTCTTTCAAGCGCACTAGTGTAGAGCGGAGCGTTTGGCCTTTCTGGAAAATTAAGCCTATGTTTTCTTTATGTAAGACCCTCTGGATGGCCTCTGAAGTTCCATCTTTATAAGGAATATCTACAGTCCCAATCCACCCGGTAGTACACCGTGGTTGAGGATTTAAAATCCGCTGCAACCGGTATCCGCCTCGGGTATCCACTACCAAGCAATTAATTCATTGCTTCTTTCCGCGCGGCCTTCCTATCTTCTTCCTCTGTGCACAGAGTCTGGGCTCTGTGAAACAGTGATGAGACGATTCCAGAACACACACGCTTTGTGCGACCTGAACTATAGTAGAATACACCATCTGTCTCCGTCGGCTTCGATATATCTTTGTTTTTGGACTACCCCCATTCCTGCGCACTAAGCAGTCAAGGAATGGCAATGTTCCACTGCCAGATTCCAATTCCATAGTGAAATGTCTGGTCTCCGCAAGAGTGTTCAAACAGTTTAGAAACTCGTCTTTCTTATCCCGTTTTATGCAAACAAAGGTGTCATCCACGTAACGGAGTGACGCTCCGCGTTAGCATGTGAGTTGAAGCTAGAAGATAAACGCCTAGCAAAGCATGTTGGGAAGGGTCAAGAATCGGTTGGTTGAAAACTGGGGGGATAAAAGTGAAGTTGGAACGGGACCATAGGGGGGAAAAGCGTAAGAGGGGAAATAAGAAGACGGGAAGGCTTGAGCAGCAGCATCCAAACCTCTATCCACCCTGCTCGATGCAGCAGATGGGGCACCGTTGATTATCCTCTGCGGTGGCCAGAGCGTCAGGTATTGGTTTGAAGAGTGATTCCTTGTTTTGCGTGGGCAGGATACTGTCAGGTTGCCCAGGCCTAGACAGGAGAATGATTAGGGTTCTCAACCAAAGCCTTTGGTTCAAAAACCTGACCGCAAGACAGCGGGTTTGGCGTTGGGCTATAAGGTGTCCGTTTTAAGGAATAAGGTGCCACCCTCATTCCAACCCCCAAGCTGGAGGACCAGGACGCTGCGTTTGTCTGGCCTCTAGCCATTGACCAATCTGGCATGAGTGACTCTGAAGGTGCAAAAGCACCACCCAGCATAGCTCAATGGATCGCTGGGGCACACAAACCATCGCACCACGGTAAGATCCAGACTCAATGCGACATAGCCTCTCCTAGAATGAGGACAAGTTCAGACGAGCCGTGTGTGATAGCTCAATCGCACACAGCGGTGAATCATGGTAGGGGGTGGCCTCGTGAGCTTAGCACGAGTGTAAAACTGCGGTGGGACAAGGACAAACGTGTCCATAAAGCAAAGGGACACTGCAGGGCTGTTAGGGTGGATACACATGGGGATGGACACCAGGAAGGAGGGCAACTAAGGCGTGGGAATTGCAGTGTTCGAGGAAAGACAGTACGTAACAGCAAATACGAGCTAAACCTGGGGAGGGGAATGGGGAAGTTGGGGTAGTAAATTTGGGTCAGGCAAAGACGGTTGTCATCGAACAAGTGTACGTTACACATACCACCCCGAAACTACTGTCCGGATGCAGAATAAGCCACAACACAGATCTGTCTCAGGAGGTGGAATGGCTTAATGTTACAGCGAAAGGGCCGTGTTACGGTAAAGGATGGATCATAACATTTGCTCGAATTCTTCCTGGTATCTGCAGATGTTGTGCCCATGCTGGGCCTTGATTCCATTGAGACTTTGGGTTTCGTCTCCTTTATTCATGACCGTTCTGTTCATTCGTGTGACAATAACACAGATGGTAGACAATTATCTTAGTGTGTTTGCCGATGTCGTGGTGAACTTTCAGAGGGAAGCTCACCTGACGTAAAACGAATAGGTGAGACCAGTAGCATTGCCAGCTAGGAAAGTACCTATCGTTTTGCGTGAGAAGTTCTTAGACGAGTTGCAGCGCTTGATCCGTTTGGGTGTTTGCCAAGGTTAATGAATCAATATGTTGGGTCAGTCAGGTTGCGGTAGTCACTAAGCAGTCAAGTGGTTTACGCTTGTGCATCGATCCTAAGATACTAAACGCCGCGCTCAGAAGAGAACATTTCACGATGCCAAAGCCAGATGACGTCCAACCGGTATTGCTCAAGGCCAAGTTATTCACAAAATTTGACCTCGCTTCTGCTTTCGGGCACATTAAGCTTGTCGAAGAGTCCAGCTAGTTAACCACGCATGGAACGCCATTTGGACGCTGCCAATGGTTGCACCTACCATTGGTTTGAAAGTATCCAGTGAAATATTCTGGAAATGCATTATGCAAACACTAGACGACCAACCGAGGGCATTATGTGTATAACAGAAGACGTGCTAGTTTTCGGAGTTACTGGAGAAGAGCATGACTGCAATGTATACAGATTGCTACAGTGCTGTGCAATCAGGGAAAGTAAACTGAAACGTGAGAAGCTTGAGTTGCGTAAAACGAAGTGGTTTTTTACGGACACGTTTTAAGTTCAAAAAGGGGGCAGAAGACAGATCCAAAGAAAGTCAGAGCCATAAAACTGCAGTGCTTTGTTATTGCGAACAGATTCGAAATCAGAGTCAGTGATTTGTGCAGCAGCAATGTCCTCTAAGTGGATGGACGATGTCGACAGTTGGTGAATGTCGGTGCGGGATAACGCGTCAGCGACAGTGTTGCCTGGCCCCTCGATGTAGTGGATGGCAGAGGTAAACTGCGAGATATAATCAAGATGCCTTGTCTCCCGAGGAGAATAGCGATCAGCTGGCGAGTTAAATGCGTAGACAAGTGGCTTATGGTCAGTTAGAACAATGAAGTGGCGTCCTTCGAGGATGTGGCGGAAGTGCTTAATGGCGAGGTAAACAGCAAGAAGTTCACGGCCGAATGTGCTGTACCTGGTTTGAGCCGGCTGGAGCTTCCGTGAGAAGAAGGACAAAGGCTGGACTTCGTTGTCTATGACTTGTTGTAAAACGGCTCCGACGGCTGATTGCGACGCGTCGGTTTTAAGTACTAACCTGGTGCTGGCGTCTGTGTTCAGATGACTCAGCGAAGTCGCGGTTGCTAGCGTTTGTTTGGCTTTTTCGAAAGCAGCTAGAGCGTCGGGTGACAGAATTAGCTTTCTCGGGTTACGCTGTAGCAAATCGGTAAGCGGTTTTAGGACATCGGAACAGTTAGGGATAAAACGACAGTAGTAGTTAATGATACCGAGGAAACGTCGGAGGCTCTTTATGGACTGAGGCACAGGGTAGTCGGTGATGGCAGTGACCTTGTCCGGAAGTGGACGTATACCTGTGGAGTCGATGTGATGTCCAAGAAAATCGATGCTAGGCATGCCAAAAATGCACTTAGCAGGGTTGATTGTGACACCAAAATGAGCTAGACGTTGGAAAACCTGGTGTAAATGAGACAGATGTTCCTCTTCGGTTGCGCTGGCTACCAAAATGTCGTCAATATAGGCGAAGACAAAATCAAGACCACGAAGGACTTGGTCGATAAATCGCTGAAAAGTCTGGGCAGCGTTTCGGAGACCAAACGGCATACGGAGAAATTCGTAAAGACCGAATGGCGTCGTGATTGCGGTCTTAGGTATGTCTTCTGGGGCCATCGGAATCTGGTAATACGCGCGGACTAGATCAATTTTAGAGAAAAGGCGTTTCCCGTATAGACACATGGAAAAGTCATGGACGTGGGGAATTGGGTATTTGTCTGGAACAGTGGCGTTATTTAGAGCGCGATAGTCGCCGCATGGTCGCCAATCCCCTGTGGATTTCTTTGAAACCATGTGAAGTGGGGATGACCATGGGCTATTCGAGGGACGAATAATGCCTAAATTCATCATGTGTTGAAATTCAGATTTGGCAATGGCGAGTTTGTCGGGAGCAAGACGTCGTGGTCTGGCGGTGACAGGATTGCCTTTAGTTTCGATGTGATGGCGGATTTCGTGTTTGGGCTGAAAGTCGTCGCTGATCGGTTGATAAATGGACGGAAACTGGCGCAGAAGAGCAGTAAACTTATTGTCGGAAGGCAGAGCCAAACGAATGCCAATCGAGTCGATAGCGAGGACTTTGCCGGAGACAGTAAGTGAGGTGACGCTGTCACGGAGTTTCCTGTTTCCGAGATCAACGATGATGCCAAACTTCGTCAAGAAATCGATGCCAAGAATGGGCTTCTGAACGTCGGCGATTAAGAAAAGCCAAGGTAGTCGACGTCGGAGTCCCAGATCTAGGGTTAACAGTTTCTGACCGTACGTCTGAATTTTCGTACCATTGGCCGCCTGGAGTGTGACATGCCCCGGAGAAAGTTGGCGTTTTTGTGTACCTACGGGTATGACGCTAACTTCGGCACCCGTGTCGACGAGAAAACGGTAGCCGGTTGAGTTGTCAAACACGTGGAGAAGGCGACTATGGTGTTGGCCAGCGGCAGCTGTCGCCATTACTGGCTGGCCGGCGAGTTTCCCTGTTGGTTCTGTAAGCGAAAGGCTTTAGGGTGCGAACACCACGGCCTACAGTTCCGTGCAGCATCCCCAAATCGTTTGTGAAAATAACAGAGACGATTCAGTTGGTCACGGTTGGAGGGTAGAGCACGTGTGTTTCGGCCAGGTGATACACTTCGACGGCGGTTAAGACGTTTGGTGATGAGGGAAACTTGGGCAGTTAGCTGTTCAATCTGGTTCTGCAGCCTATCCATTACAGACGTACTTTCAAACGCGTTAGTAGGCTGCGAGACCTGATTAATGGGATGCTTGAAAAAGCATTCATGCACCTTGTCGGCTAGTTCAGCTAACTTATCAAGCGAAATTTCATCACCTTGGACGGACAAAATCAGGACGGTATTAGGTGGTAGACATTTAGTCCAAAGTTGGCGCAGGACTGAGTCATCAACTTTGTAGCTACCAACTAAAGTTCTCATGTGTCGCAGTAGCTGAGATGGGGAGCGGTCGCCAAGTTCAACACCAGATAGGAGTTGCTGTAAGCGAGACTCGTCAGAAGCGGTTGTGCGTTTTAACACAGCGGCTTTAAGGGTATCGTACGGAAATACTGTTGGCATTGGGTCTAGGACGTCGATCACCTCAGTGGCAATATCCGTAGGGAGCTGAGTAGCTACATAGGAAAACATAGTCTCTTGTGTAGTAATCCTACGGAAACGGAAATATGCCTCGATTTGCGTGAACCAAACGCGAGGATTAGATGCACCAAAGCAGGTAAATTAAAGGAAATGTGGTTTTCACAGGGAACCGTACTCATACTAGGTTTGGATTCCATAGTAGTCGTGCAAAAAAAATACTGGGAGTTCTGAGCTTACAAAAAAATGAAGTACTAAGAAAAAATTCGGGGTCACCAATTATGTAGTGGACTCGGACCCAAAGAGAAATAAAGATGAATAAATGATGATCAGAAATGACAAGACTCACAGAAGGGTTCCGACGTGGGTTAGAAGTCCAACCACATAAAACTTCCTAGTCCTCTTGCGTCAGCAACTCCGATGGATGACAAACGACGATGGTGAAACCAGTTGAGACGGAACGAGATCTGTAGATGAATATTGCTCGAGGTTAGAACGTAGTGATCAACAATGCCATAAAATCCGCGACACAAGAACACAGAGAGAACACGTCGAGTTGCCCGCGTGGTTCAAAAAGTGTGTTATTTATCAATCAAAACAAGTGTACAAGGTTAATGTACAAGAATGGGTTGTAATAGGAAAGGAATGTACAATGAAAGATAAGTAAATTTACAAGCGCTACATACCTTTCTCTTTGATATACAGCTCTGCATGCAAACGAAAAGCATAGGTTTTACGCGTTCGCTTATGTATACTAATTTAGGGCCAATAATAATAACTAACCACTCACAGTCTGTGTG